TATTTTTTTATAATTATTTACATAAAAAAGGACATTAACAAGGTTATTCTCCACGGTTAGGAAAATCGTTTCTTAATTTCACTGCTTTCCTTCTCCACTAAGCAGATTCAAATACAAAAAGCTATCTCCACTTGTTTTCTTTCATTGTCTTCTTGATCTTCATTGCTGCCTCACATATTTTCTTATGCAACCGATGAGATTCACCTTCAAATGGCTTTACCAATGGTTCGATCCTCTTTTCCGTTTCCCAACATACTTTTCAGCCATTGATTTCATGTACTACTACAATTTAGTACCGCTTATCATCTAACTTTAAATTATTTTCTGCAGATTGCATCATGTTGGTAAGATGCACTACATATTCTACTATCTGCAATTTGTCTCTCAAACCTTGTAATTGAGGAAGCCCAAGTTCTAAACCAGCTGGTATATATATTTCAATCACTATGCGTTTTATTTCTTTTCTTTTTTTTTCACCTTGATTTTTTCTTCTTTCAAAAGCTTGATTTTAATATAAGCTTTTTCTAACTTCATCACTAAATTATTAAGCTTAGTATATAGTATATTCTTTTATTTGAATTATACTCTTTCTCCTCAGTCTTCTCCAAAGTAATAGGTTTTAGAGTACTTTTCTTTTCTAGTTTTTACTTTTATTATATCTTCTTTGAAAATCTTTGAAGCTTCTAAAAAGTATATATCCGAGCAATTTGTGAAGAAGCCTTTTGCTAGATTTATCCTTGTTAAAGTCATTCTTAGTCATTTGGAGAAAATTGTAATTATTGTCCTTTTTTAAATTAACTATATTTTACAGTTGATTTTTGTTTCTTTTTTTAAATCTACATATGACAATATATCTTTTTTTTTCAGTTGGTAGTGTCTACTCCTACTTATTTCAAGGTCAGCTCAGTCATAGCAAGCATATTTATTCCTTAATGTATCACATACACTATAAGAAAAATGATTTTTAATGACAGAAATTTATGATAAATTTTAAAATCATCACTATAACTTATCACAATTATGATAGATCTAAAAAATTAGTCACATATGTATACATATTTAATGATGAAGAAAAAAATTCATCATAAAAAATATATTTCGTTACCAAAAAATATTCATAGAGATAAAATAAGCTTTTGTCGATAAAAATTGTTACTATAATGCATTACAATTATGACAGAATTCTAATATTAGTCACATATACTTTACACATTCAATGATGACCAAATAATTCATCACTAAAAATTATCAGTTTTCTCTAATCAATGCATCCTACATAGATGAAAAAACACATAAAAAAAAGATTTTACACTATAAATATGTCTTACATTGATGAGAAATATTTAAGAAAATAAATTTTTGCACGTGAAACTCAATAAAACTTAAGATTAGTTTGGGCTTGATTAATTTTAATCGGGTTTGATTAATTTTAATCGTGCTTGATTAATTTTAATCAAAATTGATTAGTGTTGAAATAATAATATTTTTTATAAACTTTTGTGACAAAATTTTTGTTACAATATTTGTGTTGTAATTATATAAATATCTTTTTTATTTAATATCAATTTTAATAATTAATGATTAAAATTTTCACTACAATTGCATTTGTGACTATTTTTTTTGTCACTCAATTGTAACATTTGTTATGAAAATTATTGTAACAAAAAATATTTTTTTGTGACGAATAAAATTGTTATAAATAACTTGTTAACAATATCAATTTTTTCTATCACTATAAGATTATTTTTTGTGACAAGTGCTTAATTTGTCACTAAAAGCATTAGTGACAAGGGTTTTACTAACGGTTTAAATTTTATCACTAATAATAATTTATGACAAAAATAAAGATTTAATAATCAATAATTTAGTCACTAAATGTAAATTTTTTTGTAGTGATAAATGGATATGTTTGATTTTATGAAGTTTTTTGTTGCATTTCACTGTATAAATAAATCTATATATTATATCTTTAATGCAGTTTTTTAGTTGGTAGTATCTACTTAATTATGTTTTGACTTGATAATCAGATTTTGCTTTTTTTTTTTTCATTGTCGTTTATAGATCTAAGAGTTTTTAGGTATTTTATCCTAAAATTAATTTCTCTAGATATGCAAGTTATTCCTTAAGTCAACTTTTGTTTCCTTTATTCCTTATCTTTTTTTTTTTTTAACAAATTTGTAAGGGGTTGAAATTGAACCGTTAACTTGGAGGAGGGGAAATGCATTTATATGTGACTTGACGTCACTGAACCAAAAGCCCAAGTGTCTTTATTCCTTATCTTTTAGTTTAAAAATGAAAGGAAATTCATATAAATAAATTCTCTTAAGAATTTAATTAAATTGAATTCTCATATTTATTTAAAAATTTTTAGCCTCTTTGCTGTAAAGTGTAAATTAAAGTAGAATTAATTTCATTTCTCTTTTGCAGATTGTATCATTTTTGGTTTTTCTATTCCATATTCTGCAACCTGCATTCTCAACCTTCTTCAAAAACACTTGAATTGATCAGGAAACAATAGTTCC